GTTTCTCACAAAAAGTTTTTATTTTTTCCATTTTTTTTTTAATTCTTGAGAAATATTGAGAATTGAGAATTCCATCCCTTTTAAAAAGTTCTAACATTAATTGTTCTTGAGATAAAAATTATTTTTGCTAGGAACTCTAAAAATTGTTAAATTTCGCGATAACTTCATTTGGTACCCAATAACATCTACGCCACTGACTTTATCATAATTCTGGTAACATTTTTGGATTGCTTGAACATTTTTACGTAAAAAAGTATTCTTAGTAAAAAGTTCGAACACTAATCGTTCTTGATATAAAAATTATTTTTGCTGGAAACTAAAATTTGTTAAATTTCGCGATGACTTCATTTTGCAAACAGTAACATCTACGCCACTGACTTTATGATAATTCCGGCTACATCATTGGATTACTTGATGATTTTTACGTAAAAAAGTACTCTTAGTAAAAAGTTCTAACACTAATTGTTCTTGAGATAAAACCTATTTTTGCTAAAAACACTAAAAATTGTTAATTTTGCGATATCTTCATTATGCACCCAATAACATCTACGCCACTGATTTTATCATAATTCCGGAAACATTTTTGGATTACTTGAACATTTTTACGTAAAAAAGTACTCTTAGTAAAAAGTTCTAATATTAATTGTTCTTGAGATAAAAATTACTTTTGGTAGGAACTCTAAAAATTGCTAAATTTCGCGATATCTTCATTTTGCACCCAATAATATCTACGCCACTGATTTTATCATAATTCCGGGAACATTTTTGGATTCCTTGAACATTTTTACGTAAAAAAGTACTGCTAGTAAAAAGTTCTAACATTAATCGTTCTTGAGATAAAAATTATTTTTGCTAGGAACTAAAAATTGATAAATTTCGCGATATCTTCGTTTTGCACCCAGCAACATCTACGCCACTGACTTTATGATAATTCCGGCTACATCATTGGATTACTTGATGCTTTTTACGCAAAAAAGTACTCTTAGTAAAAAGTTCTAACACTAATTGTTCTTGAGATAAAAACTATTTTTGCTAGAAACATTAAAAATTGTTAATTTTGCGATATCTTCATTATGCACCCAATAACATCTACGCCACTGACTTTATCATAATTTCGGATACATTTTTAAATTACTTGAACATTTTTACGTAAAAAAGTACTCTTAGTAAAAAGTGCTAATACTAATTGTTCTTGAGATAAAAACTATTTTTGCTAGAAACACTAAAAATTGTTAATTTTGCGATATCTTCATTTTGCACCCAATAACATCTACGCTACTGACTTTATCATAATTTCGGATACATTTTTAAATTACTTGAAGATTTTTACGAAAAAAAGTACTCTTAGTAAAAAGTTCTAACACTGATTGTTCTTGAGATAAAAACTATTTTTGCTAGAAACACTAAAAATTGTTAATTTTGCGATATCTTCATTTTGCACCCAATAACATCTACGCCACTGACTTTATAATAATTCCGGTTACATTTTTGGATTACTTGAACATTTTTACGTAAAAAAGTACTCTTAGTAAAAAGTTCTAATATTAATTGTTCTTGAGATAAAACAACAAAAATTATTTTTGGTAGGAACTCTAAAAATTGCAAAATTTCGCGATATCTTCATTTTGGACCCAATAACATCTATGCCACTGACTTTATAATAATTCCGGCTACATCATTGGATTACTTGATGATTTTTACGTAAAAAAGTACTCTTAGTAAAAAGTTCTAACGCTAATTTTTCTTGAGATAAAAAGTACTTTTGCTAGAAACATTAAAAATTGTTAATTTTGCGATATCTTCATTATGCACCCAATAACATCTATGTCACTGACTTTATGATAATTCCGGCTACATCATTGGATTACTTGATGATTTTTTCGTAAAAAAGTACTCTTAGTAAAAAGTTCTAATATTAACTGTTCTTGAGATAAAAATTATTTTTGGTAGGAACTCTAAAAATTGCAAAATTTCGCGATATCTTCATTTTGCACCCAATAACATCTACGCCACTGACTTTATAATAATTCCGGTTACATTTTTGGATTACTTGAACATTTTTACGTAAAAAAGTACTCTTAGTAAAAAGTTCTAACACTAATTGTTCTTGAGATAAAAACTATTTTTGCTAGAAACACTAAAAATTGTTAATTTTGCGATATCTTCATTTTGCACCCAATAACATCTACGCCACTGACTTTATAATAATTCCGGTTACATTTTTGGATTACTTGAACATTTTTACGTAAAAAAGTACTCTTAGTAAAAAGTTCTAACACTAATTGTTCTTGAGATAAAAACTATTTTTGCTAGAAACACTAAAAATTGTTAATTTTGCGATATCTTCATTTTGCACCCAATAACATCTACGCCACTGACTTTATAATAATTCCGGTTACATTTTTGGATTACTTGAACATTTTTACGTAAAAAAGTACTCTTAGTAAAAAGTTCTAACACTAATTGTTCTTGAGATAAAAACTATTTTTGCTAGAAACACTAAAAATTGTTAATTTTGCGATATCTTCATTTTGCACCCAATAACATCTACGCCACTGACTTTATAATAATTCCGGTTACATTTTTGGATTACTTGAACATTTTTACGTAAAAAAGTACTCTTAGTAAAAAGTTCTAACACTAATTGTTCTTGAGATAAAAACTATTTTTGCTAGAAACACTAAAAATTGTTAATTTTGCGATATCTTCATTTTGCACCCAATAACATCTACGCCACTGACTTTATAATAATTCCGGTTACATTTTTGGATTACTTGAACATTTTTACGTAAAAAAGTACTCTTAGTAAAAAGTTCTAACACTAATTGTTCTTGAGATAAAAACTATTTTTGCTAGAAACACTAAAAATTGTTAATTTTGCGATATCTTCATTTTGCACCCAATAACATCTACGCCACTGACTTTATAATAATTCCGGTTACATTTTTGGATTACTTGAACATTTTTACGTAAAAAAGTACTCTTAGTAAAAAGTTCTAACACTAATTGTTCTTGAGATAAAAACTATTTTTGCTAGAAACACTAAAAATTGTTAATTTTGCGATATCTTCATTTTGCACCCAATAACATCTACGCCACTGACTTTATAATAATTCCGGTTACATTTTTGGATTACTTGAACATTTTTACGTAAAAAAGTACTCTTAGTAAAAAGTTCTAACACTAATTGTTCTTGAGATAAAAACTATTTTTGCTAGAAACACTAAAAATTGTTAATTTTGCGATATCTTCATTTTGCACCCAATAACATCTACGCCACTGACTTTATAATAATTCCGGTTACATTTTTGGATTACTTGAACATTTTTACGTAAAAAAGTACTCTTAGTAAAAAGTTCTAACACTAATTGTTATTGAGATAAAAATTATTTTGGTAGAAACACTAAAAATTGTTAAATTTCGCGATATCTTCATTATGCACCCAATAACATCTACGCCACTGACTTTATAATAATTCCGGTTACATTTTTGGATTACTTGAACATTTTTACGTAAAAAAGTACTCTTAGTAAAAAGTTCTAATATTAATTGTTCTTGAGATAAAAATTGTTTTTGGTAGGAACTCTAAAAATTGCTAAATTTCGCGATATCTTCATTTTGCACCCAATAACATCTATGCCGCTGACTTTATGATAATTCCGGCTACATCATTGGATTACTTGATGATTTTTTCATAAAAAAGTACTCTTAGTAAAAAGTTCTAACACTAATTGTTCTTGAGATAAAACCTATTTTTGCTAAAAACATTAAAAATTGTTAATTTTGCGATATCTTCATTTTGCACCCAATAACATCTACGCCACTGACTTTATCATAAATCCGGAAACATTTTTGAATTACTTGATCATTTTTACGTAAAAAAGTACTCTTAGTAAAAAATTCTAACACTAATCGTTCTTGAGATATTCTTATATAAGTATTTTATACCAAAAAACTCATGAAATTTGAGTATCTCTTCATTTAACAACATGCAACATCTACACCACTCATTAATTAATTATTTTGGAGATATTTCTGAACTCCTCGATAAATTTTACGAAAAAAAGTAGTCTTAGTTTATTTTTGCATTTTAAACAAATTCGGAAAAGTGAAAGTTAAACATTATTTAAAACTCAAAATTTCTTCCACACATTAGAAAGCGAACGAAAAAAAATCCAAATTGGTCTCACGTAAACCTCAATCATCACAGACATTAGAAACGACACTCAACTTAGTTTCTATTTTATTTCTAATTCAGTTTGAATTGATAAAAACTATTTTTGCTAGAAACACTAAAAATTGTTAATTTTGCGATATCTTCATTTTGCACCCAATAACATCTACGCCACTGACTTTATCATAAATCCGGAAACATTTTTGGAATACTTGAACATTTTTACGTAAAAAAGTACTCTTAGTGAAAAGTGCTAACACTAATCGTTCTTGAGATAATCATTTTTTGCTAGGAACTCTAAAAATTGTTAAATTTTGCGATATCTTCACTTTGCAGTTAATAACATTTACGCCACAGACTTTATCATAAATCCGGAAACATTTTTGAATTACTTGAACATTTTTACGTAAAAAAGTACTCTTAGTAAAAAATTCTAACACTAATCGTTCATGAGATATTCTTATAAGTATTATGTACCAAAAAACTCATGAAATTTGAGTATCTCTTCATTTAACAACATGCAACACTCATTAATAATTTTGGGGATATTTCTGAATTCCCCAAAATATTGTAGTTAAAAGTTCTAAAACTAATCGTTCTTGAGATAAAATTTGTTTTACATTATTATTTATTTTTACATTTTAAACAAAATCGGAAAAGTGAAAGTTAAACATTATTTAAAACTCAAAATTTCCTCCACACATTAGAAAGCGAACAAAAAAAAATCCAAATTGGTCTCACGTAAACCTCAATCATCACAGACATTAGAAACGACACTCAACTTAGTTTCTATTTTATTTCTAATTCAGTTTGAATTCATTTTTAGTTTTTACTTCACCTCAACTCGATCTTTTCGCAACACAGCAACCCGGCAATTCTCCAAGATAGCCGAGATTTACCAAAAGTTGATGGAGCTTTCGGATTTCTTTATCGAACCGAAGATGGTATCGCCCATGCTGCGAAAGGCGAACAAGATGGATCTGTTAGAGGGAGATTTACTTATACAGATCCAACAGGGTTGAAAGTTAATTATAATTATAACGCCGGATCTAGAGTTACTCCAAAATATAATTATAACGAACCTTTAACGTCTTATGAACAAAATCGTTATAATAATAATAATAATAATAATAAGGTTCAAACTCAAAATGATGTTGGTTATGAGGATGATGGAAGTTATAGGGAGAATCAACCAATTTATCAACAAACACAACAACCGATTTATCAACAACCTCAACAACCGGTTTATCGAGAAACTCCTCAAAATGTTTATCAAAATCAACAACCGATTTATCAAGATCAAGGTGATGATCAAAGGAGTCGACCTCCACATTTAAGGGCAAGAAATAATTATTAAACATTCAAAAAGGTTTCCAATTTTGCATAATATGTTACCATTAATTCGCCAAAAAGTACAAAACTAACATTTTTATATTATTAGATTTAAAAATAAAAACTTCTTTCACAACATAAATTTTTTTTCAACGGTCCCTTAAAGTCGAAAAGTGGATGTTTAATAATTTCATGTTATTTGTGTAGTCGCGTGATCGATTTGTACCAATTATTATTATTATTTGTGGAATTAACATGTGGTGAACTTAAACTTAAACCCTTAAACATCGGGTTCTTTTCGTCTAAAATAAGTATTAATTAAAGTCAGCTGCTTAAATTTTTTTATAGGAAGAATATATATAAGTAGTTTGATCTCACGGTAACATCCTATAATATAATACGGGCTTTCCGCTTTCGATAAAGTTCCCACCGCGATGTGGTACAAGTTCAAGTGCAATTCAGATATGGAGGGTACCGAAAAGAGGTGTTAAAATCCACCCTGCTGCGATCAAAACTTTCAAATCGATTTCAATCACTTTTATTTAACCGAATTCTTAAGAGATGTTTTTCTTGTAATATCCAGGTAGGTAATTGCCCTCAACACGGTTCATTAAACACCTTAGCTACCGAATTTTTACAACTCATGCATCGTTGATTACAAATACGTAATTACTAAGGAAATTTTTTGGCTTTTTCGTCGGTATCTTTGAACCCGGTTTAAGTTTTTACCTCAAATTTTGTAAAACTCTTTGTAAAACACCGCAGAGTCGACACAAATTTTGTAAATTTAATCCTTATTATTTAAAAAAAATCAACAAAATTATATTAACATTTTTTTGCACACCCCTCTCTCTCTGTTACTAAAAACGACAATATAAAATCACCACCCCGAGGGCATCGGCTTAATAAAACTGGGGCCGAAGGACCGTTTAGTTTAAGGATTAGCTTCCATTCTTTATGGCGATTGTCGAAAACATGGCGAAGGGATCCGATTTTGCCTCTGGCGAATTTATTTTTTTATTTAATAAAGTAAAATCTAAACCACATCCAACTTAAAATAAAAAATTAATAATCAAATTGATTATTTTTTTTTAAATTATTTAAACATAAATAAAATTTATTCCTCCCCAACAATCAAAAAGATTAAATTTCAGGGTGATAATAATTTAAATGCACCGCTTATGATTGTGACAGTTAGACATTTCTATTTTTCTCTCTTTCTACTTGAAGAGAGATTATAATATTTAGGATTAAGCGTTTTTTTTTTTCTTTTCGGCTACCATGTTTGCAAATGGGGTGGGTTTGGTTTTGCGGCTTTGCGTTTCGCAGAAGGAAGAGTATCTGACTGGTTTTGACTCGAAAAGTACCGTTACCGTTACATTTTAAGTTATACCTGAAGGATTAAAAAATAAAATGTTTTTAAATTATCAAAAAAAAGATTACCTGAAGTTATTAATTTAAAATTTTTTTTGCTACATCCATAAAAATTGTTAAATTTCGTGACTTTATGATAATTCAGGGTACATTTTTGAATTACTCGACGATTTTTACGTAAAAAAGTACTCCTAATAAAAAGTTCTAACACTAATTGTTTTTGAGATAAAAATTATTTTGGTAAAAACACTAAAAATTGTTAAATTTCGCGATATCTTCATTATGCACCCAATAACATCTACGCCATTGACTTTATAATAATTCCGGCTACATTTTTGGATCACTTGAACATTTTTACGTAAAAAAGTACTCTTAGTAAAAAGTTCTAATATTAATTGTTCTTGAGATAAAGATTATTTTTGGTAGGAACTCTAAAAATTGTTAATTTTGCGATATCTTCATTTTGCACCCAATAACATCTACGCCAATGACTTTATCATAATTCCGGCTACATTTTTGGATTACTTGAATAAATTTCGCGATTTTGCACCCAGTAACATCTACGCCACTGACTTTATCATAATCTGAGTAGGTTTTTTGATTACTTGATGCTTTTTACGTAAAAAAGTACTCTTAGTAAAAAACTTATTTACTAAGATTAAATTATTATTGCTAAAAACTCTAAAAATTGTTAAATTTCGCGATATCTTCATTTTGCACCCAGTAACATCTACGCCACTGACTTTATCATAATTCCAGCAACATTTTTGGATTCCTTGATGGATTTTACGCAGAAAAGTACTCTTGGTAAAAAGTTCTAAAACTAATCATTCTTGAGATAAACACTTTTATTGTTAAATCCACTAAAAATTGTAAAATTTCGCGATATCTTCATTATTGCACCCAGTAACATCTCCGCTACTGACTTAATTACGATTTCAGGAACATTTTGGGATTAATCGATGATTTTTATGTAAAAAAGGACTCTTAGTAAAAAGTGCCAACAATAATCGTTCTTGAGATAAACAATATTTTGTACTAAACAACTCTAAAATTTACGAAATATGATTATAAAGTGAAATTTCCTTAACTCGAACTTCTATATCTCGAATAATTTTCGTAAGCTCAAGCTTTTGACTAGGTTTCAAATGTGTTTTTATCTCTCTAAGTCTAATTTCCCTAACTCGAACTGAACTACTATGGAATTTCTTCAACTTTTACTTCTATAAGTTGAATTTACCAAAGAATAAAATATTCGAATCCGCTCTGTAAGTAATTTTAACTACAGAATCTAACCACATAGACTCTGGCTCAGAAACTACAGACTCTTGAATAAAAACAAACCTAATGTTCTTATTGTTGCAGAATCAGATGAGGGTGGACAGATAACTGATAAATGTCTGATAATCTTGAAAATGAAATACTTATCGCTGTGCCTAAATTTGATGAAGCTTATTCCTCTTTTAGAAAGCTTGGAACCTTTGTATTATCAAGAGATAATGTTCTAGATAATATTCATAATTCTTTATTTTATTTAATAGAAGATTTTTTCGACAAAGAGCGGTTGTCCACTTTAAGATAAAAGAAAATTACGGATTACTTTAAAAAACTTGCTTAATTTTCTACTTACAATAGTGTTAAGGTTTCTGTTTTAAATATACGTATTAGAAAAATACATTACTAATTTTTCTCTAACTCGAATTCTCCATAACTCGAAGTTTTCTTCCGCTCCCTTAGTGATTCAAGTTAAGGGAATTTCACTGTATCTTCATTTAACAACTTGTAACATCTACGCCACTCATTCAATGATAATTCAGTGTAACATAAGCAGTGTACAATAGTCACATTAATGAAACTTATTTTGTAACATCGTCCTTGATATCTTTTTACATCATGCCTGATATATCTTAGATCATAGGCTTTGTGACGGATCGGACAAGTTAGAGCATGATGTATATATTTTTTTTTATTAGTCAGCAATCACACGTTGAGTTGAGTTGGTATTAAGAATTTTTTACAGCTTGAATCTGTAGAATCTGCTATCATCGGCAGTTTCAGCCAGAGTAAAGAATAAACCTCTTTTCCGACAAAGACCAGTGCCAGATAACGACTTGTCTTAAGACAAATTCAGACATCTTGTCGTCCCCGATCTCTTAATATTATTTACGATATCTCGCAACACTGCCTTTATCACCAAAGTCTTCATCATATCATTGGCAGGTCTTGGTCTGTTTCACCTGGTCCATCCTTTCTAGATGGCCGAGTCACCTTAACCTATTGATTTTAATGGATTGTACAATATTCGGTACTTCTTAGAGCCGGTACAACTCAAAGTTGTAAAGAAGGAAGATTTGGTACTTGCCTACTATCTCTTCACAGTATGTTGATAGTCTGTCATAAAGTATGTAGGCTAACACTTTATATGCAACACTTAGGTTTGGTTAGATTTGGTATCCCTTCTTATGTATAGGCACGATTATATCTATGTTCTAGTCTTTTGGGAGTTTTAAGTGCTTCCAGATTAATTCCACCAGCTTACAAGCAAACTAATATATAAATTGTAGGATAACGTTAAGAACAAAATGGAAGAAAGGATACATATAAGAAGATATCCAATTTAACGTTTATTTAAATTAAATCAAAAATGTTATAATTTCTCCTTTCAAAAGCAATTTTAAAGGAGCTATTACGATATCGGTAAATAATTGACCTTAAGTACTACACTATGTGAGGGTTAAAAAGCCACGACATACGTTGCAAATTTGCTAAGCTTTGTTGCGTACGAACAATCACCCAGGGTTCTTAAAAGCGTTCGAGAGCACGCGGGGTTAAAATAAAGGGTGAAAACAATGCGGTTGAGAGAATCACTAAAATTGTAGCCGTTTTTTTTTTTCGTTTTCTTTCACAGACTTTTAAAGATGAGAGTTTTGATTGTTTATTGTTTTAAAGTTTTGTGTTGTTGGTTACTATGAAGGGGTTGGCTCACTTCATCCGACCCGACCAAATCATTAAGAAAAGAACGACCGTTATTAAAGAATCTAATAAGAAGAAATTTGCGATTTAGTTAAAGGTGTGCCCGAAATGGAAAGTTGTAAGATTAAGTCAAGCGGAGTAAATTTAAATAGAGCTAGAAAATGTGTAGATTTAGAAAAAACATTTTTAAGACCACTGAGTAGAGCAATTTCTAAGCTAAATATAGAGGTGTAGAAGTAGGAGAAACACCTACACTATCTAAGGTAATACTGCGTTGGATACAATGAATAAATTCCTTAAAGAATTTTCTTAAAATTTTTTTTAAACAATATAGATTTATTTTTTTTTATAAAAATCAACTCAATTTACCTTTCCAGCTCAAGAAATAAATGAAACCTTGACATTAATAATTCACATATATGATTGTATGTAATCTAGAAAGTTCGATAAAAAGTGATAATCAAATTTTTTTATATTCTAATCTTATAATATAGAATTCTTTATTTTTGAAATAACCAAAAAGTTAAGATTTTAACATTTCTAATTGGAGGAAATTGATAAATTTCTTGGTGACCCAAAAAAGCTTCCTGCTTTAAGCAGGAAATCCGAAATGCCATCAAACTCGAAAACAAAGCGTACACGAACTTAAAGAACCAGGGAGTGGTACCAATCAGGGTCGTAACGTTTACAAGGTTGCCCTTTCCATATAAAACGCCCGTTTACTCTCTTTTCCGTTGTAGTCACAGTTTACCATTTGAAGTAGACTGATTTAATCATCAAAAAAATGTTTCAATTCGTAAGTTTTCTTCCTTTTTTTATTCAAAATAACTTTCTTTCCATTATTTCTTTTGATTTAGTTATTAGTAACGTCCTCAATAATCCTTGCGGTTTCATCGCAACAAAAATATGGTGATAGTAGAGATATAGCAATTTTAAAAGAACAAAGATATTTATCTGGAGATGGAACTTTTGGTGCTACGTATCAACAAGAGGATGGGGTCCAATTTAAAGAAGAAAGTGACGCTGCTGGAAATCGAGTAGGAACTTACTCGTACGTTGATCCAAATGGACAAAGAAGAACCGTTTCTTATACGGCTGGTAAAAATGGTTTTCAAGCAACTGGGGATGGGATCCCTCAAGCGCCACCTACACAACTTCCGGTGGCACCTCAACCCCAATATACACCTCTTCCACAATATAATTCACCGGATTATCAAGCTCCACAACAACAATATAAGCCACAACAAAGTTATCAACAACCTCAACAAAATTATCAACCCCAACAAAATTATCAACCTCAACAAACTTATCAACAACCTCAACAAACTTATCAACAACCACAACAAACTTATCAACAACCACAACAAACTTATCAACCTCAACAAACTTACCAACAACCTCAACAAACTTATCAACAACCACAACAAACTTATCAACAACCACAACAAACTTATCAACCTCAACAAACTTACCAACAACCCCAACAAACTTATCAACAACCTCAACAACAATATCAACCGACCTACACAACGACGCCTTCCCCACACAGATTTTTACCACCAGGAAAATTATCTTTGAATAGATCACCAGATGGTTTTAGTTACAGTTTTCAAAAATCGTAATTTATAATTATTATTTTTTGTACGATAAAAAGCTAGTAATTATTGTAATTGTATAATAATATGATGATTGATTGTATGCTAGTGATACTCGTAATGATGATTAAAAAAGACTATAAATTAATTTTTATTAAAAAAAAAAGTTCGTTTTTGTACACCGCTTACAATTAGATATCCTTGGCACTAATTGAATAAACGTGAGTATCCTGCAGGAATTTTTTTTGACCCGATTCTTTTGTACCAAGAATGTTAATGCAAAAACGAAAAGGATATTGACACAAATAGGATGTTGATATAAAAAAAGATGTCGATTCAAAAAGAATGTGAATATTAACACAAAAAGAATGTCGATACAAGAATGTTAATACAAAGAGTTGTATTACAAGCAGAAGTTGTCTTTTCTATAAATAGAAAACTAACCGGAGTTTAAAAAGTCCTTGAAGATTTTTTTTATAATTAATAAGAGAGTAATGTATAACAATAAAATCGAAATTAAGTTTAAATTAATCATTTGATGGGTAAAAATGATTAAAAAAGTAATTAAGTCAGTTGTCAAAGTTTGGTGGTAGCACTGCCTTTCAAATTTGACATATCTAATATGTCACATTTCATTAAAAATTATAGGAGTACATCTTTTAAATTAAATAATAAATATATATTATATTATTCCTTAGAATAGTTTTAAAAATGCCGAAGTGTTCAATTAAATCACAGTTTTACAACAAAATGTAAAGATTTTGAGTACCGTAATTAAATTCAGTAGTGTATATTGGGTTGCCTAATTCTCATAAGCGTTAATTACTTTAAATAATTTTGGTACATATAGATAATACTCCTTATCATTCTCAGTAAGTAGATAAAGCTTAATTTTTCTACACAAAAACAATAATATAAGAAAATGATTAATCAGAAATAACATACCTTTCAAAAAAATCATTTTGGGAAATATTTCCATTGTTATTAAGTTAAAATTTCCTTCCTCTAAACTCCTGCGTTATCATCCCATTGAATTATTCATCCCATTATCGTGGGTTTTCTTAAAAATGTGTTATAATAAACATGTTCAATCCAGTTCCAATTATATTGCAGATGTATAGGAAAAAGTATGAACCTAAAAAAAAAACATAGAAAAAAAAAAATTTAAAAATCGTTGATAATTGATTTACCTCCATATTTCTCCAATAACTTTAAAGTTAAATCTATTATTATAATTTCTTTTAATACTTTTAAAACGTAGAGGTTAAAGACGCAAAATTGACAGTTCAAATAAAAAGTACATAACCTCACTTATTATTAGGAGAAAAATGTTATTGTATTTATCATAAAATATAGTTTAAATGTTTTTTTTATAAATTTTCGGTACTAATAATTAATTTAACGATTAATTTACAAAGAGAATAAAATAAAATTTAAACTTACAGCGAAATTTTTCGGTAGTATTCTATAGGTTAACTTTATAGTTTTGTTCATAGATGGAGCTTTAATTTTAATATTTATTAATTTTAACGATATAAATATTAAATTCGTTCCTTTAATTACCATTAAGCCTTATTTTTTTATATATAGAAGCGATTAGAATATGGAATTTATCGAGAAAGAGAATTTACCTCTCTCAATTCGAATCTCCTAAAACATTAAGAAGTTGCATAATCGTGTACTATAACTCTTATTACATTTATTTATCTTATTACCTTTACAGTTACAATAAACTTGTGATATAAATCATAAAGATTGAGGAATTTTGAATTTTAGAACAGGGAATTTTGTTATATCACGTTTTAAAACGAATGTATATGGGAAAAAAGTATGAACTTCTGCAAAGAAAAAAACAAATAAAAGGGAAATTATCATTGATAATTGATTTACCTCCAGATTTCTCCAATAACTTCAAAGTTAATTCTATTATTATAATTTCTTTTAATACTTTTAAAACGTGAGGTTAAAGACGCCAAATTGACAGCTCAAATAGAAAGTACATAACCTCACTTATTATTAGGAGGAAAATTTTATTGTTTTTATCATAAAATATACTTTTTAGAGTGATTTAAGTGTTTTTTTTATGAATTTTTGGTACCAATAATGAATTTAACGATTAATTTACAAAAAGAATAAAATAAAATAATTTAAACTTACAGCGAAATCTTTCGGTAGTATTCTATTGGTTAACTTCATAGTTTTGTTCATAGATGGCGCTTTAATTGTAATATTTAGAAAAAAGTATGAACCTCTGCAAAGAAAAAAAATTATAAAGGGAAATTATTATTGATAATTGATTTACCTCCAGATTTCTCCAATAATTTCAAAGTTAATTCTATTATTATAATTTCTTTTAAAACGTAGAGATTAAAGACGTCAAATTGACAGTTCAAATAGAAATTTGATTTATTATTAGGAGAAAAATATTATTATTTTTATCATAAAATGTAGTTTTTAGCGTGATTTAAGTATTTTCTTTTATAAAATTTCGGTACCAATAATTAATTTAATTAATTTACAAAAAGAATAGAATAAAATAAAATTTAAACTTACAGCGACATCTTTCGATTGGTTAACTTTGTAGTTTCGTTCATAGATGGAGCTTTATTTTTAATAAAATTAATATTTATTAATTTTAACGCTATAAATATTAAATTGTTTACTTTAATTACCATTAAACCTAATTTTTTTATATATAAAAGGGATTAGAATATGGAATTTATCGAGAAGAAGAATTTACCACTCTCATTTCGGATCTCCTAAAATAACCTAAAACATTAAGAAATTGCATAATCAGGTATTTAAAATTAAGAAAAGAGATTTTTTTACATTTATTTATCTAATTACCTTTAGAGTTGCAATAAACTTCTGATATAAATCATAACGATTAGGAAATTTTGAATTTTAGAACAGGGAATTTTATTACATCACGTTTATGTCAAATTAAACGTCACTTTGACATAAAAGTGACGTTTTCGTTATCAAAAAAGGTAAAATTTAGTTTTTGGTTTTATATTTTATGCAAAAAGTATTGAAACATGAAAAATCTGCATTTACTTATACTTTATACTTTAAAATGATAATTTTTGAGTGTTTTAATCTTACGTAAACAGCATAACTAAAGTTCAATTTTGATTATAACTTTCAAAGCTGAACCCATACAGATTTACAACAAGATTTCGCGTCTTTAACTGCAAAGTACACAATTCTCTCGTCTAAAACTTTCCCTCGCTCGAGTTTAGACAATATAATGGAGTAGTAAAACGAGGAATAGATTTTGCCAATTAAAATTTTCACTGAAAACGATTCTAACGCAATTTAGCTAATTTTTTCAGTGTTGGATATGTAAATGTTTGAAATGTGATTACGGAAGACGTTGAATCGTTTTTACAGCTTAGAGAAAGGGACGTTTCTGATTATCTAACCTAATTAACATTTTATTTCTATTTTAAGCAAATAAAATCCCACCCATTTAATGATTGGGAATAAATTGTTAAAGATCGACTCTCATTAATACAGATCACGCCATTTCAAAATATGCCTATAAACAACCCACATTCAATGTCACAAAGAAACAACAACTCTCACTTCTTATTCTTAACTCACCGTTTATTCAACGACCTAAGAATTCGATAATGTTAAGATTAAGCAACGCAAAAAAAATCGTCCAAGTCCGACTTGAACTTGAACGATGAATGTGCATAAAAAGATTAATAAAAAAAAATTCTTTCAAACAGGAACTAATTTTTTTGTTTGAATTTTAAAATGAAATTAATTATTAATTAAAATAGAAAGACTTGATGGTTTAATTGGGGCAAATGAAAAGGTAAACTTCTCCCACGTTTATTCCATAATAATCCATTAACAATATCGTGTTACAACAGCCCCTATTGTTTTATTAGAATCGCGAGAAAGGGAAAAAATCAATCAGTGTTTTGTAAATCGTGTCTGAAAAGTTGAGTGAAAAGCACGTGGTGGGATTTTTATAAAGTGAGGTATACGGCAGCGCGCGACCAACTCATTTCAAAACGTCTTGTAGTCTTGAGGAGGTCATATCATGGTAGGTTTAACTAATTAATATTAAATCATTTCAATAAATCGATATAAAATTGGTGGTTTTTGGTGAGACATTAAAGTGAGATCATTTATAAATGTTTATGTTTATGTAAGAGGTAAAAATGCAAGTTCATCGAGATTGTGATTCAAAATTTAAACGAGGTAAAAGTGTTTTCTTCAGGTATGTTTATAAGAAATTGTTTTCAACAATAAATTCAATCCATGATGTTATTATAATACAGTAGTTGTAAAGGTTAGAATTGTCATAAAATTAATAAAAAAATCGTTTCCAAGATTACATCAACTTAAAAACAAGAAATGTCATCTTAAAGTTTAAAAAGCTAACGTCACATTAAAATTTATGATGCCAACTTAACACTTAATGTCAAGGTTACGACCTCTTAAAATTGACAAATGTCATTTTGACGTTAGAAATGTTACCGTTAAGTTAGAATGTCATATTGAAATTAATGCTGCCAACTTAAGAATAAGAAACGTCATTTTGAAGTTAATATCAACTTAATAGGATATATCGTGTCCAAGGTTGCGTCAATTAAGAACTGTCATATTAAAATTTATGATGCCAACTTCACACATAACATCGTTTTCAAGGTTACGACATCTTAAGACTGACAGATGTCATTTTGACGTTAAAAAAGTTACTGTCAAGGTAGTAATGTCACATTGAAACTAATGCTGCCAACTTAATAGAAAATGTTGTTTCCAAGATTATGAAATGTAGCAAATAGGAAATGTTAGATTTGTGTTTAAACTGTTAACGTCAAAGTGAACTGTCATATTGATGCATAAACGTCAAATTCAAGTCCTTGTCGTCTTAAGAATAAGAAACGTCATTTTGAGGTTAATATCAACTTAATAGGAAATATCGTTTCTAAGGTTGCGTCAATTTAAGAACAGGAAATGTCATTTTAAGTAAACTGTTAACGTCAATTTAGAACTGTCACACATAATGTCATTTCCAAGGTTACGACGTCTTAAGACTGACAAATGTCATTTTGACGTTAGAAAAGTTACTCTCAAGGTAGTAATGTCACGTTGAAACTAATGCTGCCAACTTAATAGAAAATGTTAAGTCTTTTATTTAAACTGTTAACGTCCAGGTAGAACTGTCATATTGATACATCGACGTCAATGTCACTTTCAAGTTTAAGACGTCAAATTCAAAGTAGGTATTTTATTCTAAAGTTAAAAAAATATCAACCTCAAAGTAGAAAACACAATTGAAGTTTTAATAAATCTTAACTTTAAAGTAAGACATTTCTGAATGTTAAAAAGTCATTTTCAACTTCAAGGTAGAAAATATCAATGAAGTTCTAATAAAATGTCAATGCCATTCTACCCACTTTGAAGTTTAAGACTAAGATTTTCAAAGTAAGATTTTTTATTTTAAAACTAAATAAAATGTCAACGTCAAAGTAGGAAATACAATTGAAGTTTTAATAAATCCCAACTTCAAAGTAGAGCAGTTTTGTATGTTAGAAACGTCATTTTGAAGTTTAATATGTTAGCTAATGAATAGGACTTTAATGTAGGGTCAATTTCAAGGTGGAAAATATCAATGAAGTTTTAATTAAATGTCAACGTCAATGTGACTCACTCCACTTTGACGTTTAAGATGTCATCTTCAAAGTAAGATTTTTTATTTTAAAGCTAAATAAAATGTCAACTTCAAAGTAGGAAATATAATTGAAGTTTTAATAAATCCCAACTTCAAAGTAAGACAATTTTAAATATAACCTAATATAAACTAATGAATAAGAATTTCAAAGTAGAAAATATTAATGAAGCTTTAATAAAATGTCAACGTCAATGTTACTTATGTCATTTTGAAGTTTACCATGTCAGTTTAAGCATGGGGTATCTTATTTTCAACATTAATAAAAAGTCAACCTGAAAGTAGAAAATGCAATTGAAGTTTTAATTAATCCCAACTTCAAAATAAAACATTTTCCAAGTGTTGGAAATGTCATTTTGAAGTTTAATATTTGATGGTAACACTCGGGAAATGGAGGATATTACAAAAAAACTTTTAGAACAAAAGTTGTAGAAAATTGTATTCCTAACAATATTAGTCTCTTGCACTTTTGCTCTCAGATGCATAGATATCGAGAAAAATACGAAGATATGAAAATTTGATGAATTTTGTTATTTTACTAGTTGATAGCAAAAATTGGGAAATGGAGGATATTACAAAAAAACTTTTGGAACAAAAGTTGTAGCAAATTGTATTCTTAACAATATTGCTCACTTGCACTTTTGCTCTCAGATGCATAGATATCGAGAAAAATATGAAAATTTGATGAATTTTGTTATTTTACTAGTTGATAGTAACACTTGGGAAATGGAGGATATTACAAAAAAACTTTTGGAACAAAAGTTGTAGCAAATTGTATTCTTAACAATATTGCTCACTTGCACTTTTGCTCTCAGATGCATAGATATCGAGAAAAATATGAAAATTTGATGAATTTTGTTATTTTACTAGTTGATAGTAACACTTGGGAAATGGAGGATATTACAAAAAAACTTTTGGAACAAAAGTTGTAGCAAATTATATTCTTAACAATATTGCTCTCTTGCACTTTTGCTCTCAGATGCATAGATATCGAGAAAAATACGAAAATATGAAAATTTGATGAATTTTGTTATTTTACTAGTTGATGGTAACACTTGGGAAATGGAGGATATTACAAAAAAACTTTTGGAACAAAAGTTGTAGCAAATTGTATTCCTAACAATATTGCTCTCTTGCACTTTTGCTCTCAGATGCATAGATATCGAGAAAAATACGAAAATATGAAAATTTGATGAATTTTGTTATTTTACTAGTTGATGGTAACACTTGGGAAATGGAGGATATTACAAAAAAACTTTTGGAACAAAAGTTGTAGCAAATTGTATTCCTAACAATATTGCTCTCTTGCACTTTTGCTCTCAGATGCATAGATATCGAGAAAAATACGAAAATATGAAAATTTGATGAATTTTGTTATTTTACTAGTTGATGGTAACACTTGGGACATGGAGAATATTACAAAAAAACTTTTGGAGCAAAAGTTGTAGCAAATTGTATTCCTAACAATATTGCTCTCTTGCACTTTTGCTCTCAGATGCATAGATATCAAGAAAAATACGAAAATATGAAAATTTGATGAATTTTGTTATTTTACAAGTCGTTAATAACATTCGGGATACAAATCATTATGTAAAAAAATTTTTAGAGGAAAAGTTGTAGCAAATTGTATTCCTTACAACATTGCTCTTTTGTACTTTTCCTCTCAGATGCATCTGATAGGGTATCTTATTTTCAACATTAATAAAAAGTCAACCTCAAAGTAAGGCAATCATTGAAGTTTTAATAAAATGTCAACATCAATGTCACTTGTGTCATTTTAAAGTTTACAACAAGTTAAAGTAGAAAATATTGAAGTTTCAATTAATCTCAACTTCAAAATAGGAAATGTTAAAAAACGTCATTTTAACATTTAATGTGTTTTTAAGGTAAAATATTTATAAAAGTCAAGATCAATTCGAAGATATTTTAGATGATTATAGTTTTAGTGACTTCAAGTTTAAGACGTTGGCTATACTGTCATTTTTATTTTGATGTTAAATAAAACGTCAACGTCAAAGCAAATCAATGTTAATCGATTTAAGTGTTGGAAACGTCATTTTGACGTTTAAGATATCTGTCAACTTATTTTGAAACGTCATTTAAATGTCATTTTTAAATTACATATGTCAATAATAGTAAGTTAACGCTATTTAGAAATTTCTTTTTCGTTTTTTTTATAAACAAAGTTAAAGAAATGTTGATTTGATGAACGTGATTGAAAATTAAACAAAGTAAAAGTGCATTCTAACAGATTTTTCAACTTCAAATACAAATCACGTTTCTTTGCGTATCTAGCGTTGAATATTAACTTAAAGAATTTAATATAAAAACAAAGAATTAACCCAACCCAACCTATAATTAATTCAATTTCTTTTTCTTAACAGCAAACATTCATAATTTTATCACTTCTTCTTGGAGCGGGTTATTCCCAGCACCCTTTACTCGGCGACATCCCATCGAAAATCCACATGGAAATCTTCGGATCACCTCTACGAACCCCGTTTACTTTTCCAAGAACTCCATCAACCCAAACAAACCCTCCCGGTAATTCGTTTTTACCGATTCCATCATTTCCTGTGTCAGCTTTTCCTGCATCATCTCTTCTTCATCACCCCATTAATTTCGATTATCGAAACACTTTCTTAAACTTCACCGCAACTCAAGAAAGAATCCCGCAAGCGCACGAACTTTTTGCCCCTGCGATAATAAAAACGCCGGCGGCTACAAAAGGACAAATTAAAGCATACATGAAAGCACTTCAAGAGGAGGCCCAAGAAGAGCTAAAGGAGCAAATGAAACTCCAAGGACAACAACAAGAACAAAGAGGTTATCTAGTTTCTGATTTATTAGAATCAAAAGCCGTTAGTTATGTAAATGTTAAATTAGGTGGGATGCAAAATATTAAATATCATTATTTGGCTTAAAAAGAAAATAAAATTTTTTTTGAGAGTTGAAAATAAATCATCTTTAACTTTCTTATTTTATTTTTTAATTGACCAACTGATCCAAATTCCTTATGATGTTATGTAAAACGAAATATCCAAATAAAAATCACCAAATATTATGCAAGAGGAGATATTTCGTTATTTTCTTCGTGACCTTAATATAAAATAAAAGGTTTAGATTGAAAAATTGGATTAGTCACGATTAAAACATTCATTAAAACAAAGAGAAATTATTTTAGATTTAAATTAAATGTAATCGAAGGAATTATTGTATAAGACGACAAATAATTTGCGTCTTTCGGAAGAACGAAACGATTAAAAAGGAACGTAAACAACTTACACGAATCGTTTCAGATACGGTCGGTTTCGCAAAACATTTTCAAAACGAGATTACAGTCTAAATATGACGTCAACCGAAACGTTTATAGCAATGTGTGTTTGTTAAACGACCGTGAGTTAAGAGAAAATTAAATTAGTCTTTAAATGGAAAAAATATAGGATTAGTAAACTTAACAAAGTTAGATTTGACGACATATCGGCGTTTATTCCACCACAACATCCAGTCTATCAATAATTTAATGAATGTCGTTGTTAATGGTAACATCCGGTATTCAGCGCATATTTCAAAAAAGCTTTTTAAATAAAAGTAGTAGCAAATTGTATTCCTAACAATATTGCTCTCTTGCACTTTTGCTCTCAGATGCATAGATATCGAGAAAAATACGAAAATATGAAAATTTGATGAATTTCGTTACTTTACTAGTTGATGGTAACTCTCGGGAAATGGAGGATATTACAAAAAAGCTTTTGCAACAAAAGTTATAGCAAATTGTATTCCTATCAATATTGTTCTCTTTCACTTTTGCTCTCAGATGCATAGATATCGAGAAAAATACGAAAATATGAAAATGTTATGAATTTTGTTACTTTACTAGTTGATGGTAACACTTGGGAAATGGAGGATATTACAAAAAAACTTTTGGAGCAAAAGTTGTAGCAAATTGTATTCCTAACAATATTGCTCTCTTGCACTTTTGCTCTCAGATGCATAGATATAATTTGATGAATTTTGTTATTTTACTAGTTGATGGTAACACTTGGGAAATGGAGGACATTACAAAAAAACTTTTCGAACAAAAGTTGTAGCAAATGCTATTCCTAACAATATTGCTCTCTTGCATTTTTGCTCTCAGATGCATAGATATCGAGAAAAATACGAAGATATGAAAATTTGATGAATTTTGTTATTTTACTAGTTGATAGTAAAAATTGGGAAATGGAGGATATTACAAAAAAACTTTTGGAACAAAAGTTGTAGCAAATTGTATTCCTAACAATATTGCTCACTTGCACTTTTGCTCTCAGATGCATAGATATCGAGAAAAATATGAAAATTTGATCAATTTTGTTACTTTACTAGTTGATGGTAACACTTGGGAAATGGAGGATATTACAAAAAAACTTTTGGAACAAAAGTTGTAGCAAATTGTATTTCTACCAATATTGCTCTCTTGCACTTTTGCTCTCAGATGCATAGATATCGAGAAAAATACAAAAATATGAAAATTTGATCAATTTTGTTACTTTACTAGTTGATGGTAACACTTGGGAAATGGAGGATATTACAAAAAAACTTTTGGAGCAGAAGTTGTAGCAAATTGTATTTCTACCAATATTGCTCTCTTGCACTTTTGCTCTCAGATGCATAGATATCGAGAAAAATATGAAAATTTGATGAATTTTGTTACTTTACTAGTTGATGGTAACACTTGGGAAATGGAGGATATTACAAAAAAACTTTTGGAGCAGAAGTTGTAGCAAATTGTATTTCTACCAATATTGCTCTCTTGCACTTTTGCTCTCAGATGCATAGATATCGAGAAAAATATGAAAATTTGATGAATTTTGTTACTTTACTAGTTGATGGTAATACTTGGGAAATGGAGGATATTACAAAAAAACTTTTGGAACAAAAGTTGTAGCAAATTGTATTCATAACAATATTGCTCTCTTGCACTTTTGCTCTCAGATGTATAGATATCGAGAAAAATACGAAAATATGAAAATTTGATCAATTTTGTTACTTTACTAGTTGATGGTAACACTTGGGAAATGGAGGAGATTACAAAAAAACTTTTGAAGCAAAAGTTGTAGCAAATTGTATTTCTACCAATATTGCTCTCTTGCACTTTTGCTCTCAGATGCATAGATATCGAGAAAAATACAAAAATATGGAAATTTGATGAATTTTGCTATTTTACTAGTTGATGGTAACACTTGGGAAATGGAGAGTATTATAAAAAAACTTTTGGAACAAAAGTTGTAGCAAATTGTATTTCTAACAATATTGCGCTCTTGCATTTTTGCTCTTAGATGCATAGATATTGAGAAACATTCGAAAATATGAAAATTTGAAGAAATTTGTTACTTTACTAGTTGATGGTAACACTTGGGAAATGGAGGATATTACAAAAAAACTTTTGGAACAAAAATTGTAGCAAATTTTATTGTTAACAATATTGCTCTCTTGCACTTTTGCTCTCAGATGCATAGATATCGAGGAAAATACAAAAATATGAAAATTTGATGAATTTTGTTACTTTACCAGTTGATGGTAGCACTCGGGAAATGGAGGATATTACAAAAAAACTTTTGGAACAAAAGTTGTAGCAAATTGTATTCCTAACAATATTGCTCTCTTGCATTTTTGCTCTCAGAAGCATAGATATCGAGAAAAATACGAAAATTTGATGAAGTTGATGGTAACACTTGGGAAATGGAGGATATTACAAAAAAACTTTTGGAACAAAAGTTGTAGCAAATTGTATTCCTAACAATATTGCTCTCTTCCACTTTTGCTCTCAGATGCATCAATAGTGAGAAAAATACGAAAATACACAAATTGGATGAATTTCGTTGTTTTACAAGTTGTTAATAGTAACATTCGAGAAAGAGAGCATATTACAAACAAACTTTTGGAACAATAGCTATAACAAATTTTATTCTTAACAATCCTGGTCCCTTTCACATTTACTCTCAAATGCGTCAATAGCGAGAAAAATTCGAAAATATGAAAATTGGAAGAATTAAGTCGTTTTTCTAGTTGTTAATGGTAACACTCTGGAAACGAAGTATATTATAAAAAATCTTTTTAATAAAAACGAAAGTTGTACCTAATTTTAGTCTTAGCAATATTGCTCTGTTTCACTTTTGCTCTCAAATCCGTCAATACTTGGAATCCTTGAATAATAAAAATTCGCTCAGCGTGGAAACGCTAAAGCTCTGGGGTTGGAAATCACAAGCGCGGGATAAAGTTTGGAAGGAACTGTTAAGACAGGTTAAGGTTTCAACGAACTGTGAATCCACGCAAGATGATGTAGATAACTTGCGTTGGCCTATTTTACATATAATGTCGTCAATGGCCTATTATACAAACAGCTTTAGAAAATGTGTTTTGATCCTTACACATGCTTCCGATATTGCGTGTAGATACGGTTTTGATCTTGAAAGAGTCAAAGAACAACTTATTTCTATATAAGCTATATTGATTTGATTTACTAACCTTAATCCAAAGGTCATCAACTCCAAGAAGTGTGAAAGAATAGGGTCTACAGCAGGAAACAAAAAGCAGAATTAGTAAACAAGAAAATCCCTTAAATATTGAAGTATTGAAAGGAACCTGTAATTACAAAAAGCTTATTTAGTTTATATATAATTATAAAGTGCCGGATAAAGCTTCTCTATATTAGCTTACAGAGTTTCCGTGGTGTAGTGGTTATCACATCCGCCTAACACGCGGAAGGCCCCCGGTTCGATCCAGGGCGGAAACACTTTTTTTTGTTAAATTGATGAAGTGATGACATACACTTAATGTATTGACAAATTTCAAAAAACTAGTAAAAAAATATATTCCGCTGCATATACGTCTATACAAAGATTTAATGGTATTTTGATGAAAAGAACAGGGGATTCCCAGGGTTGTAAAACATACAAATTTAGGGGAATCCCAGCAATCTGTAAGTACGTATGTATGTATTTCACAACAGTAAAACTATTTGGTTCATACAAGTACATAGTGCGAATCATTTTATCAACAAATCTTTTTTTGGCAGCTTTTTGTCCATGTAAGTTCTAGTTAGCGGCAGCTTCAGTCTTCTCTGTTCATCAACAGTTTTTGAAGGAGTGGTGGGCGGTCAGATGGGTGGTTTACTCTATGGATAATGAGCATATGATGGAGAAGATTGGTAGGGAAATTTAGAGTAGTTTTATGGGATAAAGATTGTAGACGGAAGTTAATGGGAGGGATATTAGAGACTTTGGGGATTCCTTATTCATGTTACGGACTTCAATGCCGATTTTTCTGCGACTTCTAAATGGTGTCTTGATGTTCTAGGCGCGTCATTAGAAGTATAGATCCATAGCGCGAGTTTTCACTTTCATCTTCACTTTGATGGCGTGGGCAGAGAATTTTAGTGTTTTGTCAAGTGTTATGCCTAAGGATTTGTAGGTTGGTGAAACTGAGAGGGGAGTTGATTGGACTGTGATAGTAGGAGAAGGTGAAGAATTGCGATTTTGAATGCGCAATTTTCGGTACCAGCTCTCTGTTTCATCGATAAGCACTTGTAGCTTTCGGACCGAAGAGGCAACGTCCCTGTCGTGCGAAACCAGTCATGTTTCATCGGCGTAGCAGAGTATATTTATTCGCATCAAAAGCGTCTGTGTTGTTGTAAATATCGTGGCAGAAGACGTTGTATAGAGAAGGAGAGATGGAAGATCCCTGCGGGAGGCCTTGTTGGATGGTAAAACTGCGGGAGTGAGTTTCCTATCACTGGCAGCAGTGAGATGGGGCGGTAGTTTGCTGGGTCGAAAAGTGAGGAATACTTCTTGGGGACGCAGATTATGATAGAAGTCCTCCAGTCTCGTGGAAAATGTTGAGGCATGAGGCAGAAGTTAATTATTTCCCTGATGTAGGAGTGAATTCCTCGAGATGTTATCAGAACCATGAGCCGTGTTCTTTCCTTGGCCTAGAAGAGTGAAATACTTGTCCTCCAGCATAATAGCATTCTCAGGTGTTTCAGAGGGATTTATAAAAGCAAGTTGATACCAGTTGTCTATTGTGCTTTTATTCTGGGAACAAAATTTCGAATGTTCAGTTTCATCAGTGGGATCGGTGAGCTCTTTTATTTCAGAAAACTTTTGGTATCTAGACAGTTTGCGAACAATAATTTTTCCCTTACATGAATTGATTTTGTCGCAGGCTTCCATATACGGAAAGGTGTAATATTTACAAATTCTAGATGGGGTCGCTTCGTCTACCGATTTCTTAAGTTTTTCATTAAACTTTGATATCATCTCCGATGTAATTACAGGATCTGCTCTTATGAAGTCTTTCATTGCTGAGTTGACTCTCTCCATGTTGCAAAGTTTGTAATTTTTAGTTATAGTTGGAGCAGGTTTAGATTACTTTGATGTTGTGTTGGTGTGAACAAAAATACCCAGGTGGTCAGAGTACAGAACAGGAACGATCTCTACCAGGGTGATTAGATGTCTTATATTTCTTGTGCAAAAAAGCAGGTCTGAAGTAGAGTTCGGATTGTTCTCCATAACGTACGTGGGAGGTGTCTTGATTTGTACAAAATTTGACAAAGATAGGAATTGACTGATGTGTCTTTTTTTAGTTGGATTCGGGTTGGGTTGGGTTGAGAGGACATGTTAAATATTGACTCTTCAATTTGGCTGAACGGATGGATGTAAATCAGGAATATGTGTAGTCTGTTCGCGCCAAGCATAACGGTGAAGTGAGTTGATAGTTGGAGGATTTGACTTTCTTAATTGTAGGATGAGGTGGCCCATAACCGCTGCTCCACTTCCTATTAACAATATTACCCTGTTTTTGAATTGTCGTCCAATGTTTAAAGTTAATATTAGATTTTGATTTTGTCTCCACGAACATCGAACAATGTATGTGATTTGCCATTATGTAATTTCCAATTAGTTGTGATTTCGGATGGTAACTGTTGATGTTTGCATATAATAATTTTATGCTAGACATTGTTGGTCTTGTAGTCTTAGAAGTGTCTTCAAGATCAATCATGATGATATACATATAGTTTGCAGAGAATGAGACAATCGTGTCTACTTGATGATGGTCTATGAATTTGCGCTTGAGGGAATTTATGAGAATTGGTTTTTGATAGATCAATTATGTGATCATGTATAGTGATTGGCTTGTGTATACTTGTTTCTTTAGTAATTGCGGGCATCATTTGATTCGTTTTTTTGTTTGCTGATTTTATTCTGATGTTAGGCACTTCCAGGCCACAGGATTTGCATTTCTCAGGTAATTGCGAGGTGTATTTTGTAGTACTGTGTGGTCCTAGATATTTTGTACACTGTACTGTAGCAGTGCATTTGTCGGAGGTGTGGGAAAATTCGTAGCATCTACTACACGGGACTGACATTGGCGGTGGAGCGCGATTTTCAAACGCTGGAAAGTGGTTGTTTAATTGACAATTTTTCGAATTTTGCAGTTTTCGCCGATTAAGTTTTAAAAATTCGTATAAAATCCATTTCTTGGAATATGAGTATGAAAATTTCCCAAAGTGTTAATAAAAGTGTCTTCTTTCCAATGAACCAAGCCATTCTGAAAAATAACTTAGTTTTTGAGAAAACAATATGTCAAGTTTTGATGTTGCAATTTTCATCGATAATTTTCTAAATTCGCTATAAAATTAATTTCTTCAAGGATCCTCGTGGAAATATCACCAAATATTAATTAAACTATCCTCTCTTTTGCAACAAACCGTTTTGTAAAATCACTATCCGTTCCATCATTATACCGAACCTATCTTCCATGTAAATTTGAAGATGTGTATTCTTGAATATAAAAATAGATTTAATTAATTAATAACAATTAATATAAAGGGGATTAAAACAACATAATTTTAGATCATAGTTTTTAATAGATTGAAATATGAGAAAAAATAAATTACAACATGTTCTAAATAAGTGTCACACCAGCGTTTATTTATTTCATTTAATCAATTTATTTTTTTTTTTTATTAAAAAAGATTTTCTCCTCGCACGGCCGCTCGTCGCCTTTTCGCAAAAATTCCTAGAGTATAAGTGAAAATAATATTTCCCACAGGCAAACTTTTAAAAAACGTCGACGTTTCAAACACATTCTTACAATTTTCCTTTGTTCAATGTTATTATTAATTCAATTAAAAGGGACCCCGGAACGAGTTGAAATAAAAACGAAAAAAATTAAATAATAAAACATTGACGCTTTGCCAATTTTAATGTATTTTTTTCTTTTTAGTCTCGTACACACTGTATTTATAAAAATTACAACTGTTATTTATTATTTATTTTATTAGAAAAAAAAAATATTAAAGATTATTATTAAAATTGATAATAATTATTTACTTAGATTAAACAAAACAAAAAAAAAAAACGCGAAGAGGGTTTTTGTTATTAAAAAAAGACTAGACATTGAGAATTTTAAAATAAAAACCTACAGAGGTCGTTTTTAGCACTGAAAATTTATTCTAAGTTTTTCGAAAGTTAACATTTTTTTTCAATAAATACTAAGTACCTTAAACGGAAAATAAAAAGGACGTTTATGTTAATATTATTTAAATTTATGAATTTGCAATAATTAATGTTTAAATCTTTTATTAAAAATAACCCCAATAATAATTATTCTGAAACAAATTAATTTTACAAATTTTTAATAAAAGAAAAAACACCAAAAAAAACAAGCTATACAGTTTCATTTCATTTTAATCAGCATTTTTACCATTTAAAATAATAATAATTTTTGAGATCCTCTCTTACAAAAAAGAAAAGTAAATAAAACGTGCTGGAAACGACGTGTGTGTATAGAAAAGACAGCGACAGCCTCGGAAACAGTTTAAAATAAATTGCATGCGCATTAATTTTTTTTAGTACACAAAAATCTATTACGCATGCACAACAAACTTGTTTCTTGTTGCTAGAACTCATAACACCACAACAAAACCTACTTCTTCGCTTAATGTTCACCTTGAATTCAATTTATCTAACTTTTAAACATAATTATTTTTAATAATAATAATATGGGGGGGGAAATTGGGAGGAAAAAACGTCCGGGGACCCTAAAAAAAAAATAAAACAATTTTTATTTTAAATCGGTTTTTTGACATCCAAATTTCTGTCTTGTTGAGTTATTTTTCTTTGTTGCAAGCGTTACAACCACAAAACTGTTATTTTTATTATCCTTTAAATCTGTATTTAAATAAAAATACGAATTATCCTACAAATATTATTACATGATATTAATATAAATTGTTTGAAATATTTTTTTGTTTATTTTATTATTTTTTTTTTATTCGCGTGTTCTTTTTTAATCCGCCGATCATCATCGATCCTTAAATTAATTCATCATCCATTGTTATTATTTTTTTTTCAAATTATTATTTAAGGTGGGTAGAGCGTTCGAAACGTAACTTATTTTTATATTTTATTTTTTATTATTATTTTTTAATTATTTGTGGGATGGAAAAATGTCTTAACGTTTTGTATTTTTTGTTTGCTTTTTTTTTGCAGATTTGCGGTCGGTCGGTCGGGTTCGGTTTGCTGTTGTTGTTTTATTTTATAGATGACAATGGAGTTGTTGTTGTTGTTTTTTCAAAAAACTAATGTGTAAAGTGAACGTTTTGTGGGGGGCCGAGGCATCACATGGCGTACTTGCGAGTCCACTCACGCGCTAACTCATTGTACTTTTCCCGGTCCGTCTTGTATATCCTAGCAATCTCCGGCACCAGAGGATCATCTGGATTTGGATCGCACAGGAGAGAGCAAATTGATAATAGTACTGAAATCAAAAAAAAAAAGTATTTATTTAACAATTAATTAACGCACGGCTTAAATAGATACACCTATACTTAATGAAATATTAATAGGAAATAGAACAACTTCTTTGGTATGTCTTTTCTTTAGTAACTATGTAGTTTCACTTTTTCTTACTGTCGTAATAACAACAATAAAAACAAATTTATTCTGGCACGCCAGGTTTTGGTACAAACCTTATTGAAAAAAAATTAAATAACATACAGTGTGTTAATTAATTATCGTACCCGACGTCATCATTGCAAGTATGCAACCAATATCACAGTATTAATATTGCAATAAACGATTTGCCGTGTAAATTAGGTACGCAAATTATAATAATAAATTAAATTCCGATATCAATGTCCAACAATAATCAGGCAACATTTTTAAAGATAACGTTTTTCAATAACAGAAATGTCTTGAGATTCGCGGAAAAAAAATCCAGGTGCGAATGCAAAAAAGTATTTGAAGGCTTATGTTACAGCCCAGTTCATGATAACTTCTAAGAAGTTCATTAACAATTGCTATGTAATCGTCAGATTTTGTGTTTCCTAGAAAATTTTGGGTCACACTAAAACACTTAAAAGCATTCCAAGCACCACGTTGTTCCAAGTAGGGTTCGCAAAGAACCGGAATATTTCAAAAACCACTTTTTCGATTAATTAATAATGGCAAACCGGATAACCGCTTAACCAAAAAATTTGCACAAAGTACAAAAAAGTGTTTAAAGAAGGATATCAAAATATATATACAGGGTGTTTCAAGTTCTTGTAGCAAGACTTTAACAGTCGATAGATTTTTTAAAATTAACACAAAAACTTTAACGTATTGTGATAAGAGTACTCTTTTTGCTCCATAATCGTCTTTCCCATGCCAAAAAACCTCCGTATAACAAATTTGAAAAGAATCGGTTGAAATACACGTCTAATATTAAATAAAAATCAATTTAAAAATTTAATTTGAACACCCTGTATCTCCAAAACAAAGCGTTTGTCGACCTATGTTTATATGAAGTTTTTGTGTTAATTTTAAAAGATCTATCGACGGTTGAAGTCCTACTACAAAAACCTGAAACACCCTGTACATAAGATATGATGTGTATTGAAAATATAAAATATATATGTAAAAGAAAAGGCATATTTATAAACAAAAACAAAATTAAAATGTAATTTATAAACTTGATGTTTTTATAAAATAATATTATATTATATACATTATACACAGTGTGTTAATTAAGTATCGTATCCGACGTCATCATTGCAAGTATGCAACCACGCACGCAAATCGCGTATAGCAATACCAGTACTGTAATATTGGTTGCATACTTGTAATGATAATGTCGGTTGCGATAATTAATTAACACAGTGTATATTACATATACAGGGTGTGTCAAATGTCTGGAATATAGCCAATAACTGCACTATTTATAGTTTTAAAGAAAAATGTTTCAAATAAAAGTTTCTTTATTAATTGTAGCGCATTTTTTGGTGATATTTGCTTGTTGGTATTGTTTTTTGTTTCGTTGCTATGGCAACCAACATTGTTATTTTAAATGGGATGTATGTTTTTTTTTTCATATTTTGATAGAAGATAAATCCCTTTATGCGATGAACATATTAAATCATATGGTTGTATAAGAAAAAAATCGTAAAATTGTACACTGTTCAATAATATTTACCCGGATACATAATCCACAGTATCTAAAATATTAAAAAAATTCCGTAACACCGGAAGTGTTAAAAACCTTCCAAAAAATGGATGGCTGAAGAGAGCTACCAATGACGAAACTACATTAAATGTGTGTCATAGTACACATACATTATTAATTATTCATAATTGTTTTTTTTTGACATTTAAAGCTGTCAACGGCGTTATTTAGGTGCCTACTTTGATTGTAAATTACTGATTTAATATTTTCAGAAAAAGCATTTTTCTCGATTTTTTCTTATACAACCATATGATTTGATATGTTTATCGTATAGAGGGACTTATCTTCTATCAAAGTATGCAATAAGAACATATGCATCCCATTTAAAATAACAATTTGGTTGCCATAGCAATGAAACAAAAAGCATATACCGACAAAAAATGCGCCACGATTAATAATGATACTTGTATTTGATACAATTTTTCTTTAAAACCACAAATGGCGAAGTTATTGGCACACATATTCTAGACATTTGACACACCCTGTATATTCCTATATTATATATACAGGGTGATTCAAAAAACCGCTGACAGACTTCTACAGTAGATAATACATGTCTTAATATACATCGAATCGCTTTACAACCCATATTTTTTTATGTTAATATTCCATGGCGTTAAAAAGTTGTTATAAAAAAATCTAATACAATCTATATAAAAAAAGGGATTGTGAATTTCATCCCCATAGAGGGCGCTAGGGAAGTTTAAGGTATGGTTGAAAATAAGATATTAACCAGTAGTACATACATACAAAATTTCAAATTCTACGGTTTACTTATACCCGAAAAAAAAGATAAAATGTAAATTTTTGGCTCAACTTTGACACTTCATAGCTCGAAAACAAAAGAGTTGCGACCCTATGTTTATATAAAAAACTTGTATTATTTTGGCAAGTACTACGTCCTAGTAAAGTTTACCGATTAAAAACTGAACCATCCTGTATATATTCTTATATTATATAAATGACAAAATTACAGCTTTCGGCGTTCTTGTGTTACAACCTGTATATACAGGGTTCTTTTCTCTGCTAAAATTACATTCAAAATGGATGTATTGTACATCAATGGATTTAAAAAAACAATCTCTGTCCAATAACGTAAAGAAAAACACACCGAGCAATTTAACAATCAAAAGTTATAATCTCTTGAAATTGAAGATGGCGTTGGAAAAAGTTTATTTATATCATGAATCATAGTAATTATCAAACCATTTCATTTGATACCTCGCTTGCGGCGTTCTTGTGGGACACCTGTATATACAGGTGTCTTTTCTTTGCTAGAATTACCTTCAAAATAGATGTATTGTACATCAATGGATTCAGAAAAACAATCTGTATCCAACGACGCGAAGTAAAATATAGGGAGCAATTTAAAAAACAAAAGTTATCAATTGCTTGAAATTGAAGATGGCTTTGGAAAAAATTTATTTGTAGCATGAATCGTAGTATTTATAGAACCATTTCATTTGATACCTGGGTCATGAAAATCGGAATATAAATAACAGAGTTACAACTTGGGGCGTTTTTTGTGCGACACCCTGTATATTCTTATATTATATATACCGGGTGATTCAGACCACCCCCGTCCCAAGGATTTTTCTCAAAAACGCGATTACCTCAGAAGTTGCAATAAAAAATATGATAATAAAATCGTATATGAAGAATCCAATGCACCAGTTTTTATCACGCTGGTAACCGGAAGTTGGTGCTAATGACACCAACATAAAAACTTTCCATTAATTTTTAAGTTTTATCGATATTTTAAAAATAAACAACTTTTACTTTAACTCTTCTTAGATTTAATGCAACGTTTAAGTACTATTGATGATTACAATATTCTTTTCATATTTTTTCGTATAGGACAATTTTTAAGTTAATGTCATTACCACCAACTTCCGGTGTTACCAGCGCGATAAAAACTGGTACATTGGATTCTTCATATACGATTTTATTATCATATTTTTATTGCACTTCTTAGGTAATCGCGTTTTTGAGAAAAATCCCTGGTACGGGTGGTCTGAATCACCCGGTATATTCTTATATTATATACAGGGTGTCTCACGTAACTGATTCGTTAGAACTTTTTCAGGTTCCACTATTCGTAGAGATTTGAAATTTTGGTAGGATGGGTTGTTCACTTGGAACTTTCGATCTAAAATAATTTCAAGATGGCCGCCACTTCCGGTCTATCGGAAATAGACGATAACTTCGTTATTTTAAATGGAATGCTATAGTTTTTATTACACCGTTTAATTGTACGTAAAAAAATAGGGCGACTTTGATAAGTTATTGGTACCTAGCATTTTTCGTTTTCGAGTTATTTTGGTTTTAAGCTTTTTTTGATAAATTTCAATATGCTCTTCAGGTTGTTCTTCATCGTCTGTAGTAACATGGCTCTTTGAAAGTGCTTTAGTTGGTGTTCCTGCTTCTCCTTCTTTCTGAGTTGATTTCTTTGTGCAGTTTCTTCCAAAGGTGGTGTTTGCTCAAGTTGAGGAATTTCGTTTACACCGAGGTGTCTCTTTACGTTGAGTCGTTTCGTTTGGTTGTAGAGTTTCCTGTGGTTGTGAAGCATCTTCTAGTTGTAGAATTTCTTCTGGTTATTGACTTTCTAAAAGTTCAGTAGTTTCCTCAATATCAAGTATTTCTTCAGACTTAGTGTTTTCGTCATATGGAGGTGCTTCTTCAGATTTTGGAATTTCTTCAGGATCAATTACAGTAGATCTTAGCATTTCTACTTGAGATTTTGACAAACTCAGATCTCGAATAAGGCCATTTAATTCTGACTGATTTACTAAGCGAGGTTCGTCCTCTTGAGATGGCAAATATTCATCATCGCTGGTCGATAACTCGGAAATTTGTCCTTCTGCTTCTGCAATGGCATATTCTTCACTCGAAACACCTATAGGTCTTGGTACTGGCAAGGCTTATGAATGACGGCATTGGACGAGTAGCAGAAGACACAATAAATTCTACAAATACCTAATTTGATTGGCTCCAGAGCACAAATAGGCGTGGTTTAAATGTTGTGACGATTAATTGATCAATTGATTGATTACTTTAGTTCAAAATAGTTCTAAATGATTAAAAATATCTCTCTAACACTTAAGTAGGACTATAAAAAAGTGACTGGTGTGTGTCAAAATGATGCTAATCTGGAAGAACGATATGTATGGTTTTTGAAAATGTATCAAATTTGGCAAAAAATAGAAAAAAATGACTGGTGTGTGTCAAAATTGTTCTAATCGACAAAAGACATCAAGAGGATACTTGATAAGAAG